TTCTCTAAATGGTTTTGGTCTGCGATCGTGAAATTTACGCAGAGATGAGAATCAAAGGGAACTAAAAGGTCACCTTTTTACAATCTTGTTTTCTCAAATTTGGTCAAAGCGATTCGAGTTCGTCGATCAAGCAATGAGTCTATTCGGGCTTGGAAGGTGAATTACTGATCCTCTGCGTAATTTTTCTGAATAAAAATTGGGTTTTTGACTTTTTTTTGTCCCCAAGAGATTTCGTGATAGTTTGTTATCTCAGATCTTTGTTTCTACTTGGATTGTTTAGTCTATTAAACAAGAGATGTTTGTGTCGGGGAATCAATCAATTACATTTGTATCGAAACTGATAATCCTCGATTTGTTGGAAAAGCTCCAAATTTTTGGGGACTAGGTTTTCAATCTCTTGATTTATTTAGATTGCTGAGTAAAGTTTATGNTGTGATTTTGGGGACGAATTGTGGATTCTTGATCTGTTTCACATTAAGGTCTTATGATTATACAAGTTGGTTCTGTTAATTTTGTCTTGTCTTTGAGCTTATGTTTGAAACAGTTTAGTATTGTTGATTGTTCATGTTTCTCTTCTCCAGAATTGGATGGAATAATAGATAATGTAGACTTGTGCGTATTTGTAGGATCATGTTTTCACCGATGGATTTGTATGATTAGTAATTTCTTCTTTTGTTTATGTGTTCATTGATCAGAAATCAAAAGACTTTCCGTCCGAAAAAGAGCGCGCCATCAGGAACTAAGGTTTGTGAATTCTACGTTGACTTGTTTCTTTTACAATGATTCGTGTTTTTGTAGCCTTAAAAACGCGCTGCTTCTCTCTTTGATCGTGTTAGGGAGCACAGCTTCGAAAGCATATAGATGCAACTTTAGGTAGCGGGAATCTTAGAGAAGCCGTAAAACTTCCTCCAGGAGAGGATTTGAATGAATGGCTTGCAGTTAACAGTGAGCTTAACCACCACCACCATGACTCTTTTCTAATCTCTTGGTTTTTGGCTACGCATTTTGAAATAACGATAATATCTGTTGATTCAGTTTTTATTTCTCTTCAGCTGTGGATTTCTTTAATCAGGTGAATCTGTTATTTGGTACACTTACCGAGTTTTGCACCCCGGAGAACTGTTCTACAATGACTGCTGGTCCCAAGTATATAGCTTTTATCTCTTCTTTGTTCTACTAAGTAAATTCGGTGCTAATGATTGATTTAGTTATGATTCTTGATCACTGTTTTCTCTAGAGATCTTGATTATCGCGATGATTAACCTATTGGTTCGTCTGGAACGTGTTATGTAAAGCATTGGTTGCAATATTTCAGGTACGAATACAGATGGGCAGACGGTGTCCAGATCAAGAAGCCTATCGAGGTTTCAGCACCTAAATATGTCGAATACTTAATGGATTGGATCGAGACACAACTCGATGATGAGACCATATTTCCTCAAAAACTTGGTAACAGATTACATTGTGATATATCTTTGATGATTATAGATTAAGAACATTGATCTTAAAGGCGATAATTCGAGTTGAACTTTTTACAGGTGCGGCATTTCCTCCAAACTTTAAGGAAGTGGTGAAGACAATCTTTAAAAGATTGTTCCGAGTTTACGCACACATTTACCACTCTCATTTCCAAAAAATTGTTAGTCTCAAAGAAGAAGCTCATCTCAACACTTGCTTCAAACACTTCATCCTCTTCACTCATGTATATTATAAACTCTCTTTTAACTCATAATTAATCTCCATTTTAATCAATTATCAGTTTTTTTAATTGTTGATTGGTTTGGTTTTTGCAGGAGTTTGTTCTCATTGACAAGAAAGAACTTGCTCCTCTTCAAGAACTCATTGAATCTATCATTGCGCCTTACTAAACCTTAAACTCAAATCCTCTCTGTTCAATACAAAGACTATTTTTCGATTTTTTCTTTTTTTTCAGAAATTCATGGTAATAAGTTTTAACCTTAACTGTAAAATATTTTCATTGTTGTCTCTCTTTGTAAACAATAAAAGGATAATTATGAAAGTGATCTAAATTTTATCATATCTATAATTTGAAAAAAATATTTGGGATTTTTAGAATTAACAAATTAATCTATATCTCAACCCAAATAAAATAAAAATAAGATATGTTGCCTTTTTTGTAATGGAATTAACAAATATTTCTTGTATTTTTAGAATCAACAGATTAATTTTTTATCAAGGAAAAAAATGTCTATTTTCTTAATTTTGAATCTTTTATGTTTTATTTATCCTTTAAGGTTTTATTTGGATAGGTTTGGTATGTTGAAAGAAATCATAAATCTTATTTTTCACTGCATATATGAAGACTATTGATTTGAAATTCAATTTTTGTGTATTGTGTTTTTTTCATAATGTTGTGTAAATAATTTTCCTAATCAAAAGAGTTTTGTCTTATTTGGAAATTTAACATCAGACGTCAGCCAATAATTGTGGTCCACGTGTATGTGGTTTACACGTCAGCTAATTTGTTCATACGTCGTCGTTTTCTTGTCTGCCTAACGGAATAACATCGCCGTCAATGGTTTGCTTTGTCAGCTCTAAAAATACAAATAACGACAAAATTAAAAAAACGTGATTTGGCATGACTTAATTTTCATTTAGTGACAACTCAATAAAATTAATTAGTATTAAATTTATGATTTGTTTGTTCAACAGAAATAACCTTACGTCTTTGGCGTGATTAGTTAATTCCTTTTACTAAATTCTAATTAATTTGTATAGATATTTCTCTCTCCAATG